AGTTTGCATAATTGCGCTCCATATCAAACATAAATATGTATATTTCGCTATACATATACAAAAGAAAGCTATTGTATAATTTGTTCTGTTTCGGTACCCATATACTAAAGATCAATTATATAATCTGTGTTTGTATAAAGCGAGAGAAAATTGTATATATACATATATTTTCGTTCCCCTCTCCCAGATCTAGCTTGCCACTCTCCCAGATCTCGCTCGCCTCTCTCACTTTATACAAACACAAATGTATACATTGCGTTTGTGTTTGTATAAAGCGAGAGAAAATTGTATATATACATATATTTTCGTTCCCCTCTCCCAGATCTAGCTTGCCACTCTCCCAGATCTCGCTCGCCTCTCTCACTTTATACAAACACAAATGTATACATTGCGTTTGTGTTTGTATAAAGCGAGAAAGAGAGAAAGACAAAATAAAATTGGGTAGGGGAAGATCGTAGTTGTATAATTCTAAGTGTATAGGACGAAAATATATGCATTTGTATTTGTATATACAATTTTCTCTCGCTTTATACAAACACAAACGCAATGTATACATTTGTGTTTGTATAAAGTGAGAGAGGCGAGCGAGATCTGGGAGAGTGGCAAGCTAGATCTGGGAGAGGGGAACGAAAATATATGTATATATACAATTTTCTCTCGCTTTATACAAACACAAACGCAATGTATACATTTGTGTTTGTATAAAAGCGAGAGAGGTGAGCGAGAACGAGAGTGGCGAGCGAGATTCCACCAGGGAGAGAGGCGAAATAGCAACAATTTTGCTATAGGGTACAATTAAATCAAACTATGTCTATAACATTTAATTTGAATTAATAGTTTGCTATTATATACAATTGTCCCTACAAATTATTAATAAATTTATGGGACATATGAACCGACCCATGCTTCAAAATTTACGCTTCACCCGTGTTGCGTAAAATATCCCGCTTTGTTTTCGCGCCTCTTTAGACTTAAAATTTAACTTGGCATCAAATCTATCATAATTTAATTTTATTCCAAAATAATTTAGGTATGAGAATTACGAATTTTCCAATTCAACTTATTCAAAGATTTATAAAATCTAAGTTTCTCCTTTAAATAGAAGTCAATTCTAGGCAAAGAAACACAGAACAACAATGCCATTTGATCACCCCTCATATCTTATCAAATACATTTTCCTCTTTCTTTTAGTCACGACAAAGAAAATGAGCACTGAAAGAAAAGTTGCATACCAAAAATCCCGAAAAGAGTTCTTCAAAATGGTTCGAGAACTCAGCGCCTCTCATGGTGTTGAGATTGCTAGCGTCTTCTATAGTGATTACCACAAAAAACCTCTGGTATATCCAAATCATGCTATTGCTATCAAAGCCTTTGAAAATTTTAGAAAGTTACCTATGCAAGAGCAATTCAAAACCATGGTGACACAATTAGAAGTCCTCCAACAATTAAAAACTGAGAAGTTGGAAGAACTTCAGAAGCTAAGGGAGAAGAACAAACGCATGGAGTTGAAAATTAAGCTGCATAAAATGAAAATAGAAGATTTTTCTGTTGACATGATAAACCTTGAAGATCTCAACGATTGGATCTATGTGATGAGAGAATATCTCAAAGAAATAAAAGAAATGAAAGCAAGGGTTGACAAAGAGGGTTCCATATCGAATATCTCTTAATCCGTTGTTGGACAGATAATTCCTAGTGGAATCAATCTAAACTTGATTTGGCTGGTTTAATTTTAATTAAGTAATATCTACAAATTATTATTGTTCGCATTAGTTTTTTTTATATAAAAAAAGAGTAAGTTTTATCTCATACATATGAGGATTGTTAATTGAGATGATCGATTTATAATTTCTGAATCCTTTAATGTTTGATTTAAAAGCCTAAAGAGTATATTGTTGGGTATATAGCAAGAGTTAATGGGAAATAAAGGGAAGATGATAAGAGAGGAACTTGAAAAGTCCTCTTATGCTTTAGTAAAAAAGGCATTTCTCCCTCATCGGAAGTGGAAAGGAAAATAGAAGAGTTTAAATAGAGAAACACTTCTATTAATTGTTAAAAGGGTTGGAAAGAGGGACCCCCTCGAGCCGTCGTCGTCGCTCGGCTCAGCTCGACTTGGCTTTGGAAAACGATCGAGAGATTATTTTTTAGACAAAGTTTGTTTTTAATTATTTAGTTAATTATTTATTTAATTAATTAAATTAAATTAAATGGTCAAAACGTTTCAATTAATTAGTTAATTAACCGAAACGTTCCAACCCGACTCGAATCCGCGCGCGACCCATTTTATTTAAAATTTCTCATTTTATTTAAATTTTCCATTGTTGAAAATGACTGTTCTGAAAGGTTGCAACTTTCAAAAACAGTCATGACCGTTTGAAAGGTTGCAAACTTTCATTAATGGTCGTGTGGTTTCTGAAAGGTTGCAACCTTTCGGAATCAGTTCCTCTTGGCTATAAATACCAGTTATTCTTCAGAATTTTTTACTTACGAATAGTTATGATTCCTTCTTCTTCTTCTGCAGAAATATTTTTCGTGTACTTTACTTCCGTTGAGTGGCTCACTGACACCAGCGTTTTGGGTATCAATACACTGGTGATTGAGATCATTCTATCCTGGAAGGACATATTCCAAATCAAACCTTGGATACTAGAGAGGAATAATTTCCTGAAGGGGACACTGTGCATTTAGTGGGTATGATCTTTTTCTGTTCTGTCTTTTACAGATTCTGGTATGTTTTACAGATTTTAGTTTTTTTTTGTGAATTAATTTATTTTCTTATGTTCTTAGTGGTTCATTAAACTTTGGTAACTTCGTGTTTCTGCAAAGTTTGTTGAAATCAGTAATTCTGTTTTAAACACAGATTGGCAACAATCTTAAGGAAATTATGTATTTTATTTTAATCTGTGTTTATGGTGGAGACAAAAACCTTCGTGGTTTTATACTCCCATTAAGTTTGCAATTTAAGTTATTGCTTACTGAGCCATTTGTATCAATTTCTGTTTATTACAGATTCTGAAATGGCAAATGATATTGTTACGGTGGTTGTTGCTGCACCAACCCGAACTGTTGTACCACCAGCAGAGAAACCGAAAAAATTCTCTGGTGTGAATTTCAAAGGATGGCTGCAACGGGTATTTTTCTGGCTTACCACTGTTGATCTACAGACATTTACCAATGAAGTAACTTCGGTGCTTGTTGCTGAAATGTCAGATAGAGAAAATTAATGATTATTGAAGCATGGAAACAGGCAGACTTCCTATGTAAGGGCTACATTCTGAGTGCTTTAGAGGATGACTTATATAATGTCTATAGTGCAATGAGAACTTCGAAAGAATTGTGGGATGCACTTGAGAAGATATATAAGACAGAAGATGCATGCTTGAAAAAGTTTGTGGTCGCAAAGTTTTTAGACTATAAAATGTTAGATAGTAAAACTGTTGGATCACAAGTGCAGGAACTTCAACTTATTTTCCAAGATCTGATTGCTGATGATATGGTAGTAAATGAAGCTTTTCAAGTGGCTGCAAAAATCGAGAAGTTACCTTCTTCGTGGAACGACTTCAAGAATTATTTAAAGCACAAACGTAAGGAAATGAAGCTTGAAGATCTTGTGATTCAGCTCAAGATTGAGGAAGATAACAAACTGCCGAAAAGAAGTCTCATAAGAGTTCGACAATAATCGGAGTTAATATTGTTGAAGAATCTCCTACCAAAGGCAAGAAGAGAAAGAAGTCCAACGGACAGAAGTCAGAACAGGCCAAGAAGAAATTCAAGGGCAATTGTTACAATTGTGCTAATGCTGGTCATAAGTCTTTTGACTGTCGTGCTCCAAGAAACGACAAAGACAAAGACAAAGGCAAAAGTCAAGCAAATATTATGAAAGAGATGGAAGATGCAGATGACCTCTGTGCAATGATCTCGGAGTGCAACTTAGTTGGAAATCTCAAGGAGTGGTTTCTCAACTCAGGTGTAACTTGGCATATTTATTCTGCGAAAGAAGCCTTTGCAACGTACACTCTTGCTGAGTTCGATGAAGATTTGTTCATGGGGAACACAATAACAACAACAAGGATTGTAGGAACTGGGAAAGTAATGTTGAAAATGACATCCGGCAAGGAGTTGACTTTGAACAACGTTTTGCACATTCCTACTATTAGGAAGAATTTAGTTTCTGCTACACTGCTTGTTAAGAACGGGTTTAAGTGTGTCCTAGTTAGTGACAAAGTTGTAATAAGTAAGAATGAGATGTTCTTAGGAAAGGGCTACCTTACTGAGGGCCTCTTCAAACTGAATGTAATGGTTGTTGATAGTTTTAATAAGAATTCTGCTTCTGTTTACTTATTGGAGTCAAATGATTTATGGCATTCCCGTTTGGGACATGTAAATTACAAAGCCTTGCAAAAATTGATTACTTTAGAAGTATTGCCTGATTTCAAATCCGATAAATCGAAATACAAAATTTGTGTGGAAAGTAAGTTTGTTAAACATCTTTACAAGTCTGTTCACACGAATTCAAAACCTTTAGACTTAATTCACACTGATATATGCGATATGAAGTCGACACCTCTCGTGGTGGGAAAAAGTATTTTATAACTTTTATTGACGATTGCACTCGATTTTGTTATGTATATTTGCTTAATAGTAAGGATGAAGCAATTGATGCATTTAAGCAATACAAAAATGAAGTGGAAAAACAATTGAATCTAAAGATAAAATTGATTCGGAGTGATAGGGGTGGAGAATACGAATCTCCGTTTGCTGAGATATGTTTGGAATATGGTATTATCCATCAAACTATTGTACCATATACACCACAGTCAAATGGTTTGGCTGAACGAAATAACAGAACATTAAAGGAAATGATGAATGCCTTGATAATCAGTTCTGGTTCACCAAGAAATCTATGGGGGAAGTCATCCTTACAGCTAACAAGATACTCAATAGGGTACCCCGTAGCAAAACGCTATCGATTCCATATCAGTTATGGAAATGAAGGAAATCCAACTTGAAATATTTCAAAGTGTGGGGGTGTCTAGCAAAAGTAGAGGTTTATTTACCCAAGAGGGTGAAAATTGGACTCAAAACAGTGGATTGTGTATTTATTGGATATGCTGTGAACAATAAGGCCTATCGATTTTTGGTTCACAAATATGATAATCCTGAAATTCATGTGAATACGGTAATGGAGTCCGATAACACTGAGTTCCTTAAACTCATTTATCCGTATAAAACTGAATGTGAGTCGACAAGTGAAAGACCTAAACGACCACGGGAAGAATCAACGGAAAATACACTACCTAATGAGGATCCTAGGGGTAGTAATCGCCAATAGAAATCCACTTCTTTCGGACCAGATTTTGTGGCATTTTTGCTTATAAATGAGCCTCCAACATTTAAAACAGTTATGTCTTCATCTGAGTCAATCTATTGGAAAGAAGCAGTCAATAGTGAGATTGAATCAATTTTAAGTAATCATACTTGGAAATTGGCAGATCTTTCTCCAGGAAATAAACTTTTAGGATCAAAGTGGATCTTTAAAAGGAAAATAAAAGTCGATGGGATTATTGACAAATATAAGGCTAGACTTGTAGTCAAAGGATACAAACAAAAGGAAGGTTTGGACTACCTTGATACATACTCTCCAGTAACAAGGATAACATCAAATAGGATGTTAATAGAGCTAGCGACAGTGCATGATCTTAAAATCCACCAAATGGATGTAAAGGCAGACTTCTTACATGGAGAGTTGGAGGAAGAAATTTTCATGGAACAACCTGAAGGGTTTGTGGTTCCTGGTAAAGAAGAGAAAGTGTACAGACTTGTGAAGTCGCTTTATGGGCTCAAGCAAGCACCCAAACAATGACATGCTAAATTTGACCAAATAATGTTGGCAAATGGATTCAAGTTTAATGAATATGATAAGTGTGTTTACTTTAAAAACGTTCCGAATCATGAAGTCATTGTTTGTTTGTATGTTAATGACATGTTAATAATAAGTAAAGATATTGACGATAAAATGCTACTAAGCGCATGCTGTCCAACAAATTCGATATGAAGGACTTAGGAGTTGCTGATTTGATCTTAGGGATCAAGATTCTGAAAACTCCTCAGGGACTAGGATTATCTCAATCTCATTATATTGAAAGAGTATTGGATAAGTTCAAGTACTTGAATTTCAATGTTGTCAAAACTCCAATTGATTTAAGCTTTACATTTCAAAAGAATGTAGGTGAAAGTGACTGTCAATTGGAATATGCCAGAGTGTTGGAAAGTTTGATGTATATTATGAATTGTACGCGACCAGATATAGCATGTGCTATTAGCAAACTGAGTCGATTCACTAGTAATCTGAATCAAACTCACTGGATGACAATGAAACGTGAGTTGGGCTATCTGAAACATACACAACACTATGCTTTGCGTTATAATAAATATTCTGTTGTGATTGAAGGATATAATGATGCAAATTGGATCACCGGGTCAAATGAAGTAAAATTCACAAGTGGTTATGTGTTTACACTTGGTGGAGTAGCAGTCTCTTGGAAATCGTCCAAACAGTCATGTATCGCTCTCTCCACAATGGAATCTGAATTTATTGCTTTAGATAAGACTGGTAAAGAAGCTAAATGGCTTCGAAATTTCTTAGAGGATATTTCATTCTGGCCCAAAC